AAATACTAAATAAAACCGAAGCAGGTTGAGTGGCACTTGGAATTCAACCATATCACTTTACTTTCTACTTCCAAGTATTTCTACTGAATGGACTTGTGAACTACATGTTCACACTTGTGTCCACATCTCACAGATGTTTTCAGGGGCTACACAGTTTATTCTTTGTTAAACCTTTTGCATTACTGATAATACAGAAAGCTGCAATGTGAAAATGAGTCCTATAACCATACATAAAACAATAAAGACTATAAAAAGTTAGCTAAAAAGTAGAAAAGTAGCACACTGTCACAGCGTGCCTGGGCACGCATACACTGACTTTCAACTGTTGTTTTGGCAAGTGGTGACAGAAAACATCACCAACGCTGTTTATCACATCAAACACACCCATTACTGCTGTGACAGTTCATCCTTCAAAGAGCTCAGTAACCTTATCCAACGGTTTAGCTGCCAGGTCTATCAACACTCAGGGTTCTGGGACTTCTTCATTTACAAATTAAGTTTGTGGTGCTTTGTGCTTGCTAATATCAAATGTCCTCAAGTTCCCCATGGGAACTTCAAGCCCTTAAAATTCTTTAAGCTGAAGTCATTTTAGTCAAAATCATGCAGTTTGTAACTATGGCACAGCAAGGTTTTCCCCAACATGCTTTAACATACTGCAAGGTTATCACAAACATGATATGCAGCAATATGGTCACAATGCATGTTGTCATACTGACACTGCACAGCTGATTAAATATGTGAGAAAGTCAAGGGAAGAAGGGAAAAAACTTTAAGGCAAGGGTGATTAAGCATATGCTAGAGAAGCCTTGGACAAATACACTACTGGCACACATGAATGTTCCAGACACAAAATAAAAATCTTAAATGAACATGTACAAAATATGAATACAGCTCTGATGAGTTGCAAAATACTGGGAAGTGGATGCAAGACTTGGTACAGACCCAAAAAACGCATTGTATGCTGCTGCATTTTATAAGAAAGATCCACAGCTACTTATTTTCCATTTTGCTTCAGTTCATGATTACAGCTTCACATATGATTGTAGATAATATGCACGCCAAATACTGACAATACTGTCACTAGGGCTACAACCTAAATCTAAGTAGGTTTTCGTATTACTGTGATTAATAAGCATTGCCCTGGATGCCAGAGTATCTAAAGATCAGGATGAGCAGGTTTCTAGTCAGATGTATTTTCTCTGAACCCAGATGTCACATGTGGTCATTTGATCACAGAAAAATAAAAGTTGATAATCTTCTTGCAGGATCTAACTTGTCTAATTTACTTTCTTATTTTTATTTCTCTTTCAGCAAATGCTCTCACAGTTTAGAGAGGATGGAGATGACGTTCTATCACCCAGACCACACCAAACCGATTAAATAAAGGCTCCATCATTTCACAATTTGGGAAGCATTAATATGCATACCACGCTAGAAGACTGAACACAACAAGTAGCAGCAGTCCACAACTTTCTTTTTCTATGCGAGACAACATTTGCCTGAAGAGTCACAGAAATGTGTATCCAGAAGGGACAAAAATTCAGCCAGAAATCTATAAGAGGAAATTGCCTTAGAAGCCAGGGTAAATTTAACGCTATCCAAATTGGGCCAAAGCATCTACAAGTTGGCTATTTCTTGACAAGTTGGAATTCATATGAGCCAACTTACATGAAAACATACAGAATTACTGGCAAATGATATAAAACAATCATATCAAATGAACAATACATATAATGATTCCTCAAAAATGTTCAGAGAAATTGCATACAGTGAAGGACAGTAAGAGAGGCAAAGAGGAAGCCAAAAATCAGTTTCAGAGCTGCACAGATCAGTTGAATCTTGGGGTTTTCAAAATCCACTGTCAGATAAAATCTCAATGACCAGAAGCTTTTTGGAAGAGTTCCAAGAAAGATGCCTTTTCTAAGAGCAAGTCACAAAATGTAGCACCTGAATTTTGCAAAATGTCACCAGAACTACAAATGGAACAGTGTGATGAGGTCAGATGAGAGAGGAAATTGAACTTTTCGGTCTCTTTTTGGCAAAAAAAGAGACTACATACAGTGAGAAGCACCTGATACCCACTGTCAAATACCATGGTGGATCACTGATGCTTTTGGGCTGCTTTGCAGCTATTGGTCCAGGGGCTCTTGTGAAATCAATGGCATAACGAATTCTACTAAATACCACACGATTTTAGCCCACAATCTGTCTGCCCAAGTCAGAAGGCTGAAACTTGGCTGTGGGTGGACTTTTAATCAAGAAAATGAACCAAACATATATTAAAATCCACACAGAAATAGTTGCGGGAAGACCAAATCAAAGTTTTGCGATAGCCCCCTCAGTCTTCAGATTTAAAACCTGTGATGTGTATTGAAGAGGGCAGTCCACAAGCAAAGATTCAAGTATATTAAGGAAATGTTCTGTACGGAGGAGTGGGCCATGATCCCTCAACAAGTGTTCTCCAAACTTGTTACACATTACAGAGGCCCAGTGCTGTTATTCTTGACTTGATCAAATATTAATAATGATGTGCCAATGCTTTTAAAACGAATGTATTTAAAAAAATCACTAATTGCATTTGTGGTTTACTTATTATATTGATTTTAGCTTATTTTCATGAAGGGTGCCAATAATGCTGGAAGTGACTGTACAAATAGATAAGGTGGTGTGTAAGCTGGTGGCTGGATTCATAGTTGTGACTTTTTGTATTAATTTATCTATATGAAAATAACCAAAAAACCTTGTTTGTTCTTTTACCAAATCTTTTGTTAGATAAGCTTGAAAAATCCACTTAAATTTTCTTGAACTTGGAAGAACTTATAATAAAAACATCCTCTGCTTTCTTGCCCTTATCTACAGACATCCTACAGTGCTTCAGGCCTGCAGGGCAATGCGTTCATTAAAACAATCAATAAGGCTAACTGGTCTAAAGCTTCCCAGCATGTAACAAGACACTCATTCAGAATACAAATCAACTTGGGTCAATGTTGAGAACACCAAGTTTCAAATTAGCCTGCAGGGGGCTGATGGGTTCTAGGTTGAGGCCAAGGTTAGCCATTACAGTCGGAGACGTCTAATTACAGTTCTGTGATTGAATGGAGGCTAATTTCTATCCAATTGCTGCAATGAAAAATTAAACTCAACGGGTTCATTTAAACACCACTGAGTTCTCGACTGGAGGTAGTGTTGAGTACATATTTATTTATATGCTAAGAACGGGTAATATTTAGAGTAAAATGGATATTGAGCCAGTGAGCATTAAAAGGTGCCATATGCTATATTCTTCTTGTTTTTTATTTTTTTTCTTGTATTATTTCTGCCCAGCACTAGCCCAATACAAAACACAGGGAGGGGAGGGGAGGTGGTAATGCAGAAGGACGCGAAACACGTGGAGGGTAGACAAACTCGCACACAAAGCCATGGACACCATCTAACAAACAACAACTGCTTCACTAGTAGCAACTACAACCACAACAACCACGATGACAACAACCACTATAACAGTACGTAAAAATGGTGTGTACAATACATATATATATGTGTGTGCGCGTGTGTGTGTGTGTGCGTGTGTGTGCGTGGCTTAAGTACCCCAGTGGTTTAGGCAAGTTAAATTCTGGAAATTGTGAAAACATACACCATGGTTTTCAAAGGCATCTACATCTGAACTCCAGAGGGACCTCGCTGTAATGATGGAAAACACTTCCATCGTTTTTTTGGGGTTTTTTTATGCCGAAAGTATGGGCATGGCTTTGGAAATCACGAGTAGTCTGAGGTTTTTCCAGTAGGAAGTGCTACTAGCTGCAAGTTGTGATGAATTGGCACCAGAAGAAGCTCATGAACTGACATGTTTGCAGTAACATCTATTAAAATGGAGGTTTTCAAAAGATGTTGGTTACTCTGTATTATGGTGTTATTGTACACTAAAACCATTAATGTAAAAAAAAATATATAAACAAAATAGAATAGAAAGTAGATCAAAGCTACAGCTGTAAACTGGAGGGATTAGTGATAGTATCGATAATCGAATTTCCTTTACTAGAGAATATTGTGCTTAGTTATTTTTAAGTACGCCTAGTTATCACATCCAAAAAAAAAAAAAAATCTTAGTGGCATAAGGCACTTAATCACATGGAAAGGGGCTGAAACTCAGAAAAAAAAAAATAAATAAATAAAAACGTCCGAACTGGAGCTTAGTGCACAGGCAGCCCTGATAACCTTAGAGTTAAGGCGCACAATTAAGACCAACAGTTTCACAAAGCAGCTCAGCCCTTCAGCCAGTACTGCTTATTCTATCTGCTAAACTATTACAGAATTAGCTGAAAAGCAGATTATGAGAAAAGTGATTAGCAGTTTTTCCTTTGGACTATGGTCTTAATAAGATTGTAGTATCTCACCAAGCTGAGTTTCTGTTGTGAATGTATATGTTCTAACGCATACAGTAATACAGGAACACAGTTAACGTTACAGTGTTTTCACAGGTTTTGATTTTCAGGGTCCTGTACTGTCCTGTAGCGCAGTCTCTGATATCTGTATCTCCTTCTTTCAGTCATGTGAGGTAAATAGGAAGTGCAAAACAACATCAAGTTAACTGAAAGTATTTCCTGCTAGAGGTGGGTAATATGGCAAAAATATATGAAAAAAATGCGATATTTAAAGAAATTTTCATGATACACAATATGTCACAATATTATTTTTTTCAGATCAGTTGGAACAGAGAAAAAAGAACCAGTAGTGCTGTTTAAAAAATACTATCAAAAACTGTGAACACAATGACTTTTTTATTCAATATTTGGCATATCGTGTTGCACTAAATCCAGTTAAACAGGACTAAGTTTGCTCTCTTTATAATGAAACATGCAGTTTGTCAGTGTTCTACAAGTACTGATACGCATGATATGTTCAGAAAGGCAAACTATATTGTATTGTGACGTCATTTTTCACACTAACGAGACGTATTGTTATATTCCCCAGCCCTATTTCCTGCACACAGTGGTTGTGTTTAACTGCGCATACCTAAGGCAGGTCACTGCTCGTACTAAACCATTCTTCAAGATTTTTTCCAGCTCCAGGTGATACAGACAGGAAGAGTCAAAAGGTATGTCTTCTCAGCCTGAGTGATCACTTTAGAAGGGAACAACTCATGCTATTGAACAGGTTTGGCGCTGTACATTTCCAGAATAATTTAGCGTATGTCTGTCCAGATTCTAAGCCAAAATGAGACAGGTCACTGCTTATTTTATCGTCTACTGGATGTCAACAACCGTCTTTGGTAAAGGTGAGCAAAAATGTACAAAAAATGTTAGCAGTTAAAGGACTTTTGATGCTGCTGTATTTGTAGTATATATAGCATAAGGTATTTTGCATTGTATTATATTCTGAATGGTATACACTCTTAAAAAAGGGTTCTTTAAAGGTTCTTTAGAAAAGAAAATGTTTCTATAAGGAAACATGAACCCTCAATGGACCCTTTGCATGATTAAAGGGTTCTTTGCATCATGAAAGCGTTCTTCAGATTGATGAAGATTGTGCTGTAGATGGTTCTATAGAGAATCTTTTTGAGAGGGGTTCTGTATAGCACCCAAAAGGGTTCTACTATTGTTAGAAGCCTGATATCGTAACAATACAAGAACCTTTTGGGTGCTATACTGAACCCTTTCAAAAAGGTTCTATATAGAAGCGTCTACAGCACATTCTGAAGAACCCTCCCAAGATGCAAAGAACCCTTTAATCATGCAAAACCATCTTTAGAATTAGATTTAGTATTTATATGAAAAAATATACAGCCTACATGCATTATGCTGTAAGTACACGACACTGTACAAAATATACAGAATATGTCCAAAAATCTTTGACATACAGTATTATCTTCTATGATCTCTGCAGACATAATGCTCAGGACAACCAGTAACGTGAACGTGACGTGCATGGAGCGTGTTGTCCTACAATGTAACATCAACTCACCAGAGCCTGTTGAAGTCATAAGCATGGAATGGACAAAAGATTGTAACCACGCTACCTCTAACCCGCAGTGTGACTACACGGAGAACAAATCTCTAATGTACATGATTCAACATGCTACACCAGCAAACGCAGGCGAATATAAGTGCACTGTAGAGGCGAAGGAGGGTAATGGCATTGCCTACTCTACGGTAACAGTAGGAGGTGAGTTCAGGAGTACATCAGATGTATAAACCTCTGAAGACGTGTCGTCTTTTTGTAGTCTAAATAAGCAGCTCTCAGTCTAGGCTGCTTTTCTGTAAGGGGAAAAAAAAAAGAATAGCATTTTTGAAAATTGCTACTACTAAACATTGTGGTAGAAAAAAATTCGAAGTCAATCTGCTTTCTTCATGACTGTCACTACGTCCTCTGATTTTCGGGGTTATAAGGAGTCAAAATGCAAATATTACTACATACAAGCTAGAAATTCTGCACAGATTATCAAGTAGTGTAGTTAAAAGGCTTTGGCAACAGTAGTCTAAATTTGAGTAGCTGCTGCTGTTATGTAACTATTTTCATAGGAGTATATCAATTCACCTAAGGTAAAAGTAAATGGACACAATGTTTTTGACAGTCTAGAGCACATCATGAAAGAGGTAGTTTAGTGTTTTGGTTGAAAGTTGTATTTAAGAAAAATAAAAATTTAAGGACTGAGATTTAAGTTGCAGTTAAACTGTTTAGTGCAGGTGAATTACATGTGTTTAATCAAAGCATTAATGATTACAAGATCTGTAATGAAAATGTCTAGGCTGGATAGAGACCTTGATTTATTTGCAACAGTCAAAAACGCTTGTTTGTAACATGCATTTTAGTGTATTTTCGTTCTTTTAGCTTTAACAGCAAAGGTCAGGGATGCCTGATGTAAGGCAGTAATGTTAACTGTCTAAGAAAATACATTTTCAGCTTTCAGCTCTTGAAATATCTTAGCATTTGAAATATCTTAGTAACGCACACTAGATTTATGCATTTATTGGCTGATTACAAAAAATCTATGAATGGAAAGATTATCTTTAATGTATATTTCTATGTGAGAATGTGTCAGAAACATTTAAGGACACATTTTTGCAAAAAAGAAAAAAACCTGGCTTTTCCACCCGGGTTATGAAATAGTTTTGTAATATAGTGGCAGACATATTTTCATGAGATGTCAATTCAATGCACAACCTTAGAGATGTATGTAAGTTCATTGCTGACCAAAAATAAATAAAAAAAAGTATATATTTTAGCATTTTAGAATTTTAAAATGTATGGGAAAACTTTGTTCCTAACAACTGAGTCACCATAATAGAAGCAATATGTCAACCTTTTTGTATGCTTTTAGCATAGTTAGCTAATAATGCTAATAATACATGATTATGAATGTTTTATTTTTTCAGAAACCACCCCCAGGTTAAGAACTACTGGTTTAGTTGAAATAAAGTCTATTTAAGTTTGAAATGAGTTCTCCACCAATTTTTCATCCGTTTCCACAGACTGCGAAGTACAAGTCCTGGGGCACGTTCGGGGTAATCAGGTGAAATGCAGTTTCAGTGGTGTTTACACTAAAGGCGAAGTGCACTGGTTCAACAGCACCCAGAACATTACCTCTGACATGCCTGACGAGATTGTGAAAGACCAACATGGACTGTTTAACATCAGCAGCACTCTGAGCATCCCAGACATCCAGCAGCAGCATCAGTATAACTGCTCTCTGTGGCTTCCCAGTAAAGGCTATGTTACTTCTTATGAGCCATCAATGCCCATCAGTTTCATGGACAAAAACAAACTGTCATGGATTCTAATGTTCCTTAGTCTTATTCTATCCTATGGTTTGCTAATGACAGAATAAACTTTGTTTTGATCAGGTACGTTTGGGACCTGTGCTTATTGGCACATATGAGACCCATGCTTTAATATTATTGCAATATGATTTTAAATGCTTGCAAAATGACAGCTGAGTTGTAGAATAATACAACTTTTGTGAGCCTGAGAATTACTCTAATTCAGCATGAACTGATCAAGGCTGAGTTTATGAGCCTGTCTGGGATTCTCTAGGAGATACTGTAGATCAAGGGCTCAAGTGAACTGTCCTGAAGATTCTGAGCAACATGTGTGTATGTTGTATTGAGGTAAGATTCCTGACTCACACTGAAAAGAATTTCAATAATTTCTACAATAATGAACTGTGTGTGTTTTACAGTTTTATACAGCATATCGTGTTAAATTCTGGAAAAACATTTACACAACACATGGTTTATACTGGATTGAATGGCTATTGTAATATTACTGTAGCAATACTGTAGTAAAATATCAAAAACTACAGTGTCATTAGCTTTACTGTAAAACTAGACACCAAAAATACTTTTCTGAAGCAGCAAGAGACCATCGTCTTCACTGCAATTTAATTTAGCTTTTCACTTTTCCATTATTTAAACGTTAAAAGTGCTAGTTGAGCTGCATTCATAGCTGTGAAGCAGAGTAAGCAAGTTAAGTTTTTACTTGTGATAAGCTTAGTTAACACAAGCTTAGCTAGCTAATAGCATGCTGACCTACCTAGCACAAACTGTACCAACATAAAATAAAGCATGTAACATTCAAGCAAGTTCCTGAACTTTTTTTTTGTCAGTTTAAAGAGGGATGTACTTTAGAAACTTTTACTTTGTAACTATCCTTTTTGTTGTAAGCATCTAAATATGACTACCATGATAATGCTTATTTCAGCTAGCTATAAGATCAGTCCATATGGCAGTTGCAGTGTCATGTTAGTGCCAGGCTAACGGTGGTGTACATTCACTTGTAGCTTGTACGACATGCATGTAACATTTTTACTTTTCATATTACAGTTTTTCAGCGAATCTGTTAATAAATAAATTAGCTTAACCCAAAGAGGTGAGGTAATGCAATTTTTTACTGGTGTTTCTCAGTGATTTTAGTCCCATCCGAATGTGCCACGTCAATCACTTTTAGAGACGGTGTGCTCCAACATCAGATTCCAGCGCCTTTTACTTTCTATAAAACAAGCAGTAGAAATAACCTCTGATTATATTAATCCTGCGTAAATCAAAATGTCAGTAAAATGCTATCATATCCTGTGGGGAAAAGAATTTCTTTCGTATGAAGGAAGAAGCATTTATTTTTGTTCTCTCTGGCCAAAGTCAAGCTGATATGCACTGTTCTGCCTCTAGTGCCCTACTTCAAACATTAAAAGATGTAAAAATGACAGAAAAAAATCATTTGATTTCATGCAGTGATTTTGGCTGTTGGCCATGAAGTCCCAAGCTAATGAACACGCTAATTACACAGTGCATTTACTTAAGACAGCAAGATTAATGGTTAGGGTAAACGGAAAAAACAGCTGTTTACCCCTAAACTGATATGACAGAATTTAAAGACAAGTTCAGGGACCAGCTAAACTGGTGCTAACAGATATCTGCTCAGCTTTCAACAGTTGTCTTATACTCACGCAAGCCTCCCATATAAAGCAGCCGGATGCATAACAGAATGACGGACTACCGTGGAATGTTTTCAGACAAGGCAAGAAAAATCTGGATATGAGTAGACTTTGCTGGCACTGTAGACACGGAAATAAACCGATAAACATACAGGTCTTGGCACAGTAGTATGTATTTTTATTTAACCAAAATAGCAATTATGATAAAGCACAACATACCACTCCTTAATTAACCACACATGTATTAAACTAGAAAATTCATGCAGATGAATAAGAAAACAGTCCAAAGCAACTTTGATACAACAAATAAAACTACTACAATGAACTATTTTCACTTGCACAATTGATTGAGGTACTGGGTGCAGTTCCGCACAGCTCCACAAGGAGGCATGCTCAAGCTTGTAAAGAGGGAGGAAAAAAAAGGTTACCAAAAAGCATAATCACTTCAAGTAACAGATGCAGAACATATCTGCAAGGACTACCACAGCTCAGCTTCAAGAACTGCAGAAAACAAAATCAGTCACGTTTATTTCAGGCTTTCAACATGCACATCAAGCACATCTGTGAAATAATCACTGCATACCATCTAACTGAACTGAGGCTCAGAGGAATCTGCTGATCTTCTATAGAGTGATATACAGCCCTTCTCTCCCACTAATCACTTTCTTATACATAAGCACTCTTCAGCTGTGTGTAGGTGGTCAAGAGAATGAAACTTATTCTATGTAATTAGAGAGGCAAACTAATTTCACTCTCAATTATGTCATAGTTGTGTAGAAGGTAATAAAACAATTTACTATTCAAAATGTAATTACATACTTATCTCCATTAAGAGTTACACAATGACCTCCATTAAAATTTGATTTACGTTCTGGATCCACATGTTAGAGCCTGCGCTCTCGCACTTCACTTTAAGCTAGGGGTGCAATGATGCAGGAATTGTAGGCAGATGCCGATATCTGATCTGCTGATGCTGATACACAAACATTTATCAGATGTAGACATTTAATCCACCTGGATTAGTACTGCGGAGAAAACAAACATATCACTGCTGTCGGAACAAACAACAGAATCTCCATTTTTGTCATTTTTTTAATTTTTGACTATTTGAAAATGCCTGTTGCCCTTTATATTGCATGTAAGTTTCATGAATGAATGCACCAAGACAAATGGCCCAAAATTACTTGGAAAAAAGTAATTAAAAAAAGTAACACTGACTCACAATATAAGTACAGTATGTTTTCCTTTTCCTGTAAAGTTATCATTTTGGAGATCGAGGATTTGTTCCAACAACAGTGATATATTTGTAGAGAGTTGGCAGTAAAATGCACACATTTTAGCACAGTAGCCTAGTGCTGCCTAAACGGGTACACAAACGCCAACACGAGTTAAACACTGAAGAGGCCAAAAAAAAAACAAAAACAACAGTAATGTACTAATTCAGTGACATTCTGGGGAAGGGCGGTGGACATATTATTAAATTAAATCAGACAGTGAAATGGCCCTTCCAATTTTTGAGGAGGCCAATGACCCAAAGCCTCCCCCTCTCCCACTCACAACTGGCACATACTGAACAAATCTAGACGTGTCTGATGCTGGTATGTTTTTAAGCAAACATCTCCACATGCAATATCATGCATGCATACCTCCCTATTTTCGTCAACTGAAAGGCAGAAGGAGGAGGAGCACTAAAGGAAACTGAAGTCAAATCAGCAACTGAAAAATCCAAAAAATAAAACTGATTAGAGGTCATTCTAATATATAAATCATCTCATCAGCTGCAATTAGTGAAAGTAAAACAGAATGAGAAATATGTGTTTGTGTTTGTGTACAATAATAATCAAGAATCTCTGCTACTGGCAGAAATTTGGCGCTGCTTTATCAGCAAGCAAACAAACAAGAAAGCAATGGCCAAGGAGTTCAGTCAGGGACACTCACTACAAGCACATTTTGCTCCCCGGAGCATAAACAGGGTCTGCTTTTGTTTTCAAGACAAAGCCAAAATAACGTCATCTGCTGAACCAAACGCTTCCAGTGGAGAACATTCTGTGATTTCATCCTGTAATCACCGAGATGGCATGGAGCCAAGGTTTCAGCTCAGACAGGAAGTATCACTTCACAGTCTAGGACACTTCTGATACAAAGCGGTGTCAAAACAGTCATGCTGTTCTTTTTTTTGAGAACATGAAAAGAGCCAAGTACCAACTTATAAGTACACTCAAAACCCATTTTCTTAGGAACATCTACCTTGCTGGTGTACAGTTACAGACTGTGGCACATCTGTCTGCAGTAATCTGTCTTAGGCTGGCTTTACACGTCGAAACTTCATGCAACGAGTTACATGTTATGAACTGAACACACCTTCCGTGAGGCAGTTTTACGTATCTGTGTATTCACCATGTATCTCTCGGGTTTTTCACTATATATTTGAGTTGAGTTTATTTGTTGAGTGTATGTTAAGCCTTTGAAAATGAATGTTCAGCCAGCCATTACATATGTTCTTGATTTCTCACTCATGCTGTTCTAAAGCACAACAAATTCACTGAGGACCACAAATCAGTCTGCCCTTCTGTAATGAAAAACAAATCTAGCTATGTATATCAATGACAGCAGGCTAACAAACAGTAGTAGACAGACAAGCAGTCATTTAAACAGCTGTTACCATTAGCTGGCTAGTTAAGCCATAGAAGTGCAAAAGAAGCAAGTGAAAAAATGAAATTATCAAAATAAAACTGTCAAACTTGTATAAAATCAAAATAAACTCCTTTTCAACTGCCCAATAAAACGTCTTCTGTTTTATTTTTTTGTCAATCATTTAAAATTACATTGTTTGAATATGTGATGTGTTATCAGCATTTCAATTGGCTGTTTCAAGGAACTTGTTCCACAAAGTTGAGATGCTTGCAACAGTTGCAGCAGTTTCAAATGAGTTTCTTTACATTATGCAACTCAAGTGAAATTTCATGTAGGTTTCAAGCAACTAAACTTCCATGAAAGTTTCAAAGCCAGTCATTCTCTAGCCTTTCATTAGTGGTCAGTTTCTGACAACAGAGACACTCTTGGCTAGATATATTTGTGACAGTGATGTGTGTAAAAACTCCAGCAACACCACTGCACCTGACACACTCATATCAGCACTGCACACACCATGTCATGTCAGTGTCGCTGCTATGTCACAAATAATATCTGGTCAACAGCAGTCTTGTAGTCAGAAACTGTACAATGATGAGTGGAGTAAAGGGGGAGCTGACAAATTCTGCACAGACTACAATCTACAACTGTACTGCGGCCAGTGAGTGAAAGTAGGTGTTTCTGACAAATAAGATAAGGCTCCTGCTGTTCCTTGACACTACAGCACTTACAATTCTGTTTATCCTGAAGGCATAATCACTAATTCC